TTCAAGATATGCAGAAAGCATACGATTCTGTAGAAATCAAGATGCTTAAGCTAGCTTTACAAAGAATTAAAATTCCAAGCACTATAATTCACTTTATAAGTAACCTATATGAGAACCGTGAAATGGAGATTATAATAAGCATAGGCACAACAGAGCGTTTCATAGCTGGTAATGGGATAGATCAATGAGAAGTAATATCTTCTCTGGTTTGGCGTATCTTTTATAATCCTCTGCTAGCAGAGTTACAAGGAAATTGCGAACGTGGATATAAATTGGAGGTAAACTGGCCTACTTGCCTCAGCAAAAACATGAGATCACAGCAAAGTTTGAGAGTCCCAGTAATCGCATACGCCGACGATACTACCTACATAGCAGCCAGTAAACAGGAACTGGAAAAAACACTTAAAATTGCTCAAGAATTCTACAGACTTAATGATATTGAAATAAATAGCAAGAAATCAGAACTCTTGGTAGTTGGAGGGATTAAAAAGGTAAATCCTAGATATGTAGAAGTTGGGCCAGCAAAAGACAAGATATATAGAAAAAAATGAATGAGACAGCAAGATTCTTAGGTATCTGGCTTTCAAAAAAACCCAATCACTATCATGCCATTGAGACTGCTAAGAAGGAGATTAACATAGTAATTAAAGCAATATATAAGAAAAGTATGACGCTAGCACAATTGATATATATCAACAATAGAGTACTGCTGCTGAGGTTAGAGTACAGACTCCAGCATTGTATACTATCAAGAGAACAATGTGATAGATTGCAGAGTCCCTTAGTAAAACTGATTAAGAACAAATCAGACCTAGCCAGCACTATGGCAAATGCAATTTTAACGCACAAAAATATAGCTGGATTAAAAACATTTTGGCAAAATCAAATGATACACCACATAACAGAATTACGTAAACGCATACACTGTCAAAATGATACTAGCAAGACAACTTGGATCAGAATACAGCAAGTACAAATTGATTGCAAAAGTACCAAGTGCATATTGGAGTTAGATCTGAATAGGTTAAAAAAAGTCAGGCTTAGACAGAACCTGATATACAAAATCGTAACTGAGGCAAAACATATAAATATAAATATTAGGTCAGAGAAAATAGAAAACAATCTTAAGCTCACAGAAGAAGGCACAGAGATAATAGACCTATTAAAAGAAAAACAAATAAGAAGCTACGTTCAAGAAAAAGAGATAGGTTTGTTTGTTTTAGAGCAACTATTAGATAATGAAGGCCTTAATCTGTTCACATAGAAACAGATTAAAAAATGCAAAAGATTAAAAGCCACAGACAAGATGCCAATTTGGTTTGCAAAAATTAAAGATGAAGTCCTCGAAGATAAAACTAGCCAAAAAATCAAATCCAGCTTTCAGTCCAAGTCATTAAACAGTCTAAGCCCGAGAATAATACCAGATGTAATAAGTGTAGATAAAAGAAGAAAAGACTGGATCTTAATGAAGACTAAAGGCAAATTAGAAATCAGCAAAATAGTAGGGAAAAAGGCAGAAAGACCTATATAGTAGAGCATTGGACCTTAACAGATGACCAGGTTAGCAACAATATTAAGCTAAACAAGGGTAGAGGTTGCGAACAAAATGGCAAGAAAAATGAAGACCTAGAATCCTAACAAAAAAGCAAGATTTTCAAGAACAAAGTGATAGCAATCAGTCCTAGGCTGTTTCAAAAAGTCCATACAGAAAGTCAACAATGGAACCTCTGCATCCTGTTAAGCTGTCTGGCAAACACATTCCCTAGTAGCACTACTGGCACGCTCCCAGTACCATCAGCACAGGAAGGGGTTGCAACAGAAGTTGCTCTACAGTCCCTGGTAAATGAAATAATAGAGCAGGCTCTTGAAGACCCCCAAATAAAAGAGAAGCTAAAAAGCGTCGCAACACAACTAGAAGGGTATAGAAAATTGGCATTCTATACCAACAGTTCACTTTTAAGCCCAACTGAAAACCCGGAAAGAAGAAAAATGAGGATCGGCTGGGTAGCTGCGATTGAAAACAAAAGCAAAAAACACAATCTTTTTATAGCAGAATTCCAAGGTACAGTAAGAGACTGGCCATTTTCAACAAGAGCGGAACTAGGAGCAATTTGGTCAGCTCTACTAGTAGCTCCTATTAAGGCCTTAGTAAACGTATATACAGACAGCTCAGCTGCAATCCAGGCATTATGCGCAAGCAAGATTAATAATAAGTAAAGCGGCATAGTTAAGAGGAAAAACCTATGCCTTCTAGAACAATTCAGAAGAACAATCGAGTTGAAGGAGCTAAAGGTACATTATTATAAAGTTAAAGCATATAGTGGAATACTAGGTAATAAGAAAGCTGACAAGCTTGCAAAAGAAGAAGCATACAGCTCGGTACTCTTAGCTCCTAGATGGCTCTGGAACAAGCAAGCCCAAACTGAGCTTAAATGGCGAGAAATAAAAGTAGATGACGCAACAAGAAGTTTTATCTCAAGATTAACTGAAATCAGCATCGACATGGAGTGGAAAAGCTTGAAAAGTGTAAACAAATGGATGGTACCAGAAACTAGTGACAAGTCAATTGAATGGAAAGAAGTATGGAAGAATATAAGTAAAGTTAAAAGTAGCAGGTGTAGAAGTACAGAGAGCCACAGAGAATGGGTATTCAAAATAAAGTGTCTAAGTAATCTTCTACCGACAATGCAAGTTCTATATCAGAGAAAAGCAAGTCTTTACCTGGATGATACGTGCAGAATATGCTATCTAGAGACCGAAACGCAAGAACATTTTGCCAAATGCTCTGAGTACCAACAGTTGTAGAAGATTATAGAAAGAGAAGGAAGCGAGGCCATCGTTAAGAAAGCGGTAAAGGAGAAAATAAAGCTCACAACAACAGAAATCCAAAAGATTACAAAAATAATCTTTGGGGAGGACCTACAAGAAAGAATCGTGACTAGAATAGAGTTAATAAAAGGGCTTATAACAAAAGAGAAAGCAAAAAAGATTAGTTCGTTACTAAGCGAAAGAAAGAATACCTCCAAACTTATTCAGGTGTTCATTAACAAGATCAAGACACAATTCCGAAGGCATATATGGAACTTTCGATACGAAATAGTGTCAAATTGGGAAAGAATATCCAAGAAAGAAAAACAAGGTAAAAAGTGTAAAAAAAAAGAGAACAAAAGAAACGACTCTGACAAGGAGAACACCAACCCACAAGCCGAGGAAAGAAGTGAAAAGAGGAAAAAAGCAAAAACTGGCACAAAAGAAGCGAGACTTGAAGTTCTTAAAGAAAAAGAAAAAATAATTGAAGAATGGGTTGTTTGGGGTAACAAACCAGCATAGTCTTCGCTGGTTAAAATCAAATCTAATTTTTAAGCATGCTTGATATGGCAGACAACAGCCAACCGTCGACCAAGGGGGTACTATCATGGTACAAAATTCTTAGAAAGTTAAGGATCCTAAGGGAGGTGAATTGTTGTTTTGGCAGGTCGCACTGGGCATAGTACTTGGTGAGTTTTTATTAGACTAAAACATTATACTATAGAAATTATGTACAAATGTATATTAGTTATATAGTAGTTCAAATAAATAAAAGCAGGACTGCTTAAAAAAAAAAAAAAAAGATAAATAAATAAATTTGATAAATAAAACAATTTAATTAATCTATATTTAGCTAATGCTTGATATTATCTCAATCATTACAAAATTATTTAATTTGCTATTATGTACATTATTCAAGATATGAATACTGCCAAGCAAAAACTATTTTGAATTTAACATTGGACGAAGGCTAAGGCTTTCTGAAAGAAGCATGGTATTTTTATCTTGCTTTGCTTATCAGATAAATCTATGTATTGGCGAAGTTTTTAAAAAATCCACCAAATTAAAAACAACTATAGACCGAGCAATTCAATTAGCAACATATTTTAAGAGTGCAAATAATAAATATTTTATTGCAAAGCTATGTGATCAGCAAAAGTTAACATACAATAAATATTATAAGATAGCAGTACCAGGAGAAACTAGATGGAATAGTTACTATTCAGTAGTGATTAGTCTTTTACGAAGTCAGCAAGCATTGAAGGTATCAAAATAATTTTTTTTTTTTCTAAATACAGTAAAATTATTTTTAGTATTTAAGTTTTTTTTTCAAATATTATTAAATTTTAATCCTCTTATACATTTTTAGATTCTTGCGATAAACCACCAACTACCACTAGTCAAGACTCGGCAGTGAATAGGAGAAAATTTAACTATAAGTCAAGATATTTTTGAAATTATTGAAGCTAGTTCTTTTTGGACAAACTTGATAACAATTGCAGATATTTTGTACCTATATTGTAAAATATTAAATATTTTACAGCGTGATAATGCAAGACTAATTTATATAATATATGGTTTTGCATATTTGGTCCAATTTTGGGATAATTACAAAAATCAACAACTTGCTGAAAAAATTTTAACCTGATTAAGTAAAAGGTGGGAAAGCTGGAAACAACCGCTTTTGATTTTATTATATCTGTTGTATCCAAAGTATCGAACTATCTATTTTAAAGATAAATCAAAGGTAAATTATATACGACTAGGCAAATATTTAATTTATTATTATAAAGCCTGGTTCAGAAAAGAAGCAACTTGTATTTTGTATAAATTTAACGATTTTTCAATGAAAACTTATCCATTTGATGATAAAACGTATGATCATTTTAATGATATCTGGAAATATTGGGAGTTTATTGCAGCTTCAACAAAGGAATTAGGTGTAGTAGCTTGTAGACTATATGGAATATGTGTTAATGCAGCTGCTGTTAAATGTCTTTGAAGCTGCATGAAATTCTTGTAAACAAATCGAAGAAATCGATTAGCAGTAATATATATATACTTTTTTTCTGATAATTACATAGTTAATTTTTATTAAATCACCTGAGTTTTATTTTATTGATTAATAATCAATTTTTTTACTTGTATCATATTATTAAATTTTTTTTTTTTAGTCATCAAAAGCTCTTGATATGTCTAAATTAAGAGCAGAAATAACATGGAATCATCATCGAAAGTCAGATTTTACTGAATTACCTCCAACTTTTCATGAAGTAAATGTGCAAGATCTAACTAGTGAAAATAATGAACTTTGTGAAATTGAACTTGAATCTGAAATGAATCAAGAATTGAAACTGAATCCAAAGAACTTGAAGAACTTGAAGAATCTGAAAAATCTGAAAAACCCGAAAAATCTGAAGAACTTGAAGAGCCTGGGGAATCTAAAAATACAAGTGATGATTTTGCCTCTATTGAAGAATTGGACAAAGAAGAAATAGTAGACTCAAATTTCTTGGAAATTGAATTTAGCCAATTTTTAGACATATGAATTGAAATATCAGCAGATTAAACTGAGAAAATGATGGATACGGAAGATAAGGATGAAAAAATTTTATCAGTTCATGATGTTGTTCACCCAGCAGTCGACTCTAATGCTAAATGGGATTTGATTACACTTTTTAACGAAATAGAATTGCCATAATTATACTTATTCAATTTTATAATTTTAATAATTTATATCATTATTACAAGTAGCACAAATTATACACAAATGTATTTGGTTTACAAAGCTAGTTGTAAAATAGGCATTATAACAAATATTTTTACCTTGTCAAAAAGTTTTGCCTATTTTATTTAAATATAAAATACCGTATAAGTGTGTAATAATGCACAGAGGTGCGTTATTTCGAGCCCCTGCATGTTATTTCAGGACGCGCATGCGCGATAATTCGAATTATTATGCTAATTTTTTAAAAAAATTTCAACTACTTCTTGAATGATAATCTGGTATATATGGAGGGGCGCGTTATTTTGAGATGCGCATAGGCGTTATTTTGAGTCAAATATGCCATTTTTAAAAAAATCGAAATTTCGAAATAACGCCTATGTGCATTATTACGCGCTTATATGGTAATATATATTTACATACTTTTGTCTTTTAGTTACAATAGGACCCCGGACATCTCTAATATAGGTCATAATTGATCTGCATAAATTTAAAGGTTTTTGCTATCCCTAAAATCAAGTAAATTTGCTAAAAATTCAATTATTATATATAAAATTAGCCTAATTTGCTAAAAATTCAATTATCACATCTATTTTTAATAAATATAAAATTAAATATGCCGGAATAA